TTATCTTATCCGTTAACGATTTTACTATACTTTAAAATAGGTAAGTTGGTGGCCCTTAATATGCTTTATGTGTTACACAAAAAGTTTTTTTGTTGAATAAAATAGTAATTCTTTTCAGAGTTCATTGTTTTTCTATACCAGTAATTATAGAAAATGTTTGCGTGTATACTTACATACTTATACTAGCAGTACCCCGGTGTGCTTCTCTACACCAAATATTGAAAAACGAATGAAAAGTCCTGGAATTTTTCTATATGAAAATTTATCATTTGTTTTATTTCAAAATTTTTGATTCTTTATTTTAAATCTTAATCCAACAGATTTGGATATACAACATTTTTTGTTTTTCCATCTTGGGTATGAATAAATAAACAATTTGGAATGCCAACTCTTGAACAGGCCACGTATAGCTACCAATTCCAGTAATCTACCACAAATATTTCAAGAGATATACCAGATGAAAATTTTTGTTAGTATGGGTGGTGCCCGAATTCGGGGAAACTTAACACAAACCATCTGCATAATAGTCCGACTATGCCGTATAAATTTGGTTGAAATTTTGCACTTATTCTTTATATATAAGATGTGAGGTGCCACGCCCTCTTTTCCAATACTGCCCATTTTTATCCATGAGTATGGAATTATTTGTTATACCTGTATACCAACTTCCAGTACTCTACCACAAATATTTCAAGAGATATACAACAAAAAAAATTTTGTTAGTATGGAAGGTGCCACACCCCCTTTTACGAATTCGGGCAAACTTCACATAAACCATCTGCATGATAGCCTGAATATGCCGTATAAATTTGGTTGAATTCGGTGAAGCCCTTCTTAAGTTATATTGTCACACCAAAAACGTTCACTTATTGCCTTCAGCAACAAACCAAAGGCGGCGGTTTGACTTCTGCAACAAATCAAGTTAGCTAACTGCGGCATCTTGCCTTCGCCAGTCTTTCACATAAGCTGCCATGCTTTCGGCAACCGTCCAAATGCAGTATCGTGCTTATGGCTGTCGATCAAATACGGCGGTTGCTGGTTTCGTGCACGATCATTCGGAGTACAGATTTGCCGAAGTCAAGATCAGTATGAGCTGTTATAAGCATCGTTCACTTGTGGTGGCTGTATTTGCAAGACAGCACGCTTTGCGGTGGTGTTCGTTCATCCTCCGTTTTTAACGTGAGGCTTAAAGTCACAAAAACAGCACCCTTTGCCAATCCCTGATATAAACCCAAGTTTAAAAATTTGTAGAAAACTACAAAAAAGTGCAGAAATTTTCACCTAAATTTCAAACTTTTTCCTCGGAAGTGTTTGAATTTTTCTGAATACACAGTTTTATAGCCCAATCAATTTTAGTCTGATAATGTGCAAGTTTCAAGTGGCTAAAGGTTGCCGTTGATTTTTTAGAATTTTTTTCGCCAAAGGTGTTGCGCTTTTCTTCCATATACAAATAAATTGAGTTTATTCCATATTTGTAATACTTCTATATTGGTAGTAAGCTAACATCTCAATGTGTAAGCATTCCGAAATCAAAGCGAGACAGTCTAGTACCGTTTTTGTCAATGTATTGTGTACTTGAGTGCCGTTTTTGTATATGGGTTGTGTACATGTTTATTTATAAACGTATGTGTTCCTTTTCTTTCGTACGTGTTTATTGATATATCTGTACTGTAGTGTTTTCGGACGGTACTAGCTCTTACTGCCAATATAGGAGTATTACATATATGGTTTATTCATTATATGGAAGCCAATGCGACAAAAAAAATTCTAAAAAATTAACGGTCATTCGTACCCACTTGAAATTTGCACATTATCAGACTAAAATTGCAGGGGCTAAAAAACTGTATACTCAAAAAAATTCTAACACTTCCGGGAAAAAAGTTTCAAATTTAGGTGAAAATTTGTTACACTTTTTTGTAGTTATCTACAAATTGTTGAACTTGGGTATATATGGGGTTTATCTGAGAATGAACTAAATTTTAATTGAAAATTCTTAAAAATAAATAAATAAACATAAGGGGCACACAATATCACTTGGAAATGGCGTGCTATAGATATGACCGATACTGTATATATGTATCTACATGTATGCATATGGGCGAACGAACATTTCCTTACGCCGCACAGTGTTTTGACTATATGAAGGCAAGTAGAAAAAATCATGGTGACAGTTGGTAAACAAAACCGGTTTGACTTAGAGAGGGAATAGTAAAAGTCATAAGTACGAAATTATACATTATTTACTCACCCCCTTCTTCACGAACGATACATTTCCAAAAAAATACGGGAATGGGCACGATACCGACTAATCAGTTTAGTTGCATTTGGCGCTGAACCCATTACAGAAAGTGTTTCTTTTTCAACTGTAATTAATTATCTAAATGTCGTGGAATATTTAGGTGAAGGTATTTATCATTTATTTGGTATTTTCCTATTTTCTTACCAAAAAATTTACATTGAAATGTGTCCAGTTAGGAAAAAAGTCTCCCATAAGCGGACGCGAAGCTCTAACAAGCAGTCAATTTTGTTTTGTTTTTCAGTCAAATGTTGACTCTTGCGCTTCTACATATGTACATATATGTACACAAGAACATAGCCCATATTCAAAAATATTTTCTTTTCTAGAATAGAAAAAGTGTTGCCTTTTCGTTGCCAATGGGCAATGAGATTTGTCGGTAGGAAAGAAAACGTATAAATTTGAATTCATTTTTAATTCACCCTGTTTATGTCTATTGAAGAATAAATATTATTTTAATTTAGACACCCGCAATTTAAATTTTTTAAGTATGAATTTTTATTTTATTTTTTACGAAATTCCTATAAGCGGACATCTCTCATAGGCGGAAAAAAGATGACCATCGGTGTCCGCATATTGGAGCTTTCACTGTATTCGACATCCGCATTCGCATCCGCGGATGTTAGCTTTTAAACATCCGCATCCGCATTCGCATCCGCGGATGTCTAAAATTCCACATTCGCAACATCCCTAGTACATACCCACGTTCTTTGGCAGGATTAGAGGCATTTTTAATATTACAGAACGACGCAGTGTTTCGACTATATGGAGGCAGGTAGAAAAAAGTCATGGTGACAGTTGGTAAAAAAAACCGGTTTGACTTAGAGAGGGAATAGTAAAAGTCATAAGTACCAAATTTTACATTATTTACTCACCCCCCTTCTTCACGAACGATACATTTCCAACAAAATACGGGAATGGGCGCGATACCGACTAATCAGTTTAGTTGCATTTGGCGCTGCACCCATTACAGAAAGTGTTTCTTTTTTAATTGTAATTAATTATCTAAAAAAAGTGTGAGTACCGGTCCGTCAGGTCTTGAAATTAGACTAATATTTTAGAGAATTGTATGTAGTTTTCGAATATATAATTTGATCTTTGCGCGCGACTTTCCAAATATATGTAATTTTTGATTTTCCGCTTCTTTTTGCATAATGTAGCGAAAAGAGTTTTTCGAACAATGAAAAAATCCCACCAGATATTGGGAAAAAAGCGAGTATTGACACCTAAGTCATTTTATTGTATTACCTTACCCAAAATTCCATCACATTTAATGACTGGGCGCACATTTTTTGTGAGTTTTGAACGTTGTAGTAATCCAATCTCCCCCATATTTTATATTTAGGTTTTTCTAATAAAATAAAGACTACAAACTAAATTTCATCGATGATGAGATTTAATGTTTCCGCCCACAAGAGTAGAGGGCGTGGCAATTATTCCATCTTTACAAAATTTCATAATTCTCTATTTCTAAGTAAAACTAGAGCACATGTCAAGTTTCAGTGAAATCGGTGCAGGTGTACTATTATTTCCACCTGCCTCCATTTAGTCGAAACACTGTGCGCTGCAAGATTTGTTGCGATGATTCTTGTGAGGTACAAGTGCTTGTGTCAAAAGTAACGAGTAAAGTAACGATACGAAAGATACGGGTGTTGATTGGATTAGTAACGAATACATACGGGTATCCGAATTTTCGTTACTTTTACAGCTCTACTCATCATATATTAATTGTTTTTATTTCATAAAAAAGAGCATCGTCTTCTATGCCAAATACATATTTTCCTTCGCCTTGGTACACCACTGTGAAGAACAACATACCGCTTTTTAAAAATATTTATTTGATTTTTGTACTTTTCAATAAACAAAGTTTCAAAACTTCAAATTTGACCTACAAAAAATAACAAAGTGGGCATTCAAACACCATAGGATAATTTTTTGTAATGTAATTGGACATTTCTTAACAAGTTGGAATTATCAGAACATCGAAATTCCATTTCGATTTTTTTCCGGCTAAACTCGTCATATGGCCCATTGTGTAGCGTGGGGTATTCAGTAATGAACCAAATGAAAAAAGTCTTTCTACAGGCGGACGTCCCCCTCATTCTTAACATTAAGTTCTCAAAACTTTTGTTCTCGTTTTGTTCTCTAGCAGAACGTTTCCCCGACTTTTGTTCTTATTTGATCCTCCTTGAAACGGTTCTCGGTACTTTCGTTCTCATTCTGTTCTTCTTCAGCACATTCCCTACAGTTTTGTTCACATTATATGACATTACCTTTTGTTTTCATGCAGAAATAAACCAAAATCAGAACGCGTTCTCGGTCCCTGAAAAAAATTCAAAGTACTACAAAAAAATGCATTCCAATTTCTGAAATCAAATGACTAAAAGAATGCAATCCAATGGCTAAAATCAAGTGACTAACAAGAAATTAATAAAAAAGTGATTTATGAGTCAGGACTAACAAAAAATTATTGCAATCAAGCTGGACTTCAATCAAATGAATATTTTAGTTAAAACTGATTGCATTCTTAAACACCTCTGATGGCTATATACTGACAAAAGGGTTAATGCAATGACGAAATGCTTGTCAAACAAACGTACTGAAAATTAATATGCCATATTTTGATTTCACTTAATAGATTTTGGCCGTAAGCAAGTCTTCCCGCCCTTTGTTAGATATGTTTTTACAATAGTATAGGTACAAATACATTTACATATACATACATACATTTCGATTATTCAAATGTTCAATGACGTTCAACAATTATTAAATATTTACATTTTAGAAATTTTAATTACTTTCTAATTTTGGTCTGGATTCACAATATACTAGCTTGTATATTTGGAATGTTATGAAGTCCAACGTCGGGATTGCTCCAATAATAATTTGGTGGGCCTTGGCTAAAGCAGTATTTCATATTAAGAGGTTCATCATTTTCGACATAGTACATCAAGTAAAAATTACACATTTCATCTTCGTTAGTGGATCTGATGAATTACATAATCAATAAAAGGGCTTAAAATAAAATGAATTTTTCACAAGTTACCCAACATATGTACTTCTATTTCGATGACTAATCATAGTGCATCTAGCAGCAAGATAGTCGCCGTTTACGATGGGATCACTATTTTCAATAGAATAAAACATTTGAGGCGTCAAAGGATCCCTTTTGCCCAAGAGCGTCCACTGATGAAAACCACGGTCATCAGTTCGTACTCTGTATCCTGATACAACTTTTCCAAGGCTATGAGTGTGAGTGCGATACGCAATTGGGTGTATTGTCTTATTCTCACTTATTTCACAAGCAGTTTCCATATGTTCTACTGATTTTGGTGGGATGACTCCTCCAGTTCCCAAGAGCAGGACGCCTGCAAGTTTGTTCAGCCTGCGAATAAAGATTATATGTACATACATATATGTGAATCAGTTAATTACCCAAGGGAATAAAGGTACAGTTAGTCTACACTTCATTTATGTAACGTAACTTAATATATTGGCCAAAACAACTGAGGGATTCACAGCGGTGTCGTATTGTTGTATGTCGTAAACTTTAAAAGCTTAAATAAATGTTTATGGAACTTGAAACCACAACCAACTATTTTTTAGCACTGCGAGAGTGCATAATATGACTTTGATGGTACTTTTCGCACCCCCACAATATATTTTTTAGGCGTTTAATGTTTACGACGTACAACAATACGACACTACCGACACCGTTGTGAATACCCTAAATATATTCTGTTCAGGAATTTTTTGATGTGGCTTATAGGCCAAGTGACAATCTGTTGAAAAGGAAAATACAAAAACCAAATATTTTCGCTTCTGGCTAAGTTGACGTGTTGAGTAATCATCCCATTTGGGTACTTAAAGTTGACATTATAGACAATGTTTTTATGTAAAAAAAATTAAAAAAATGCTGTAATAAATATAAAATCAAAAAGAAAAATTTTAACTTATTTTTTTTTTATACATTGCACATTAATGTAAAAAATTCATAATTAAAGCCCATAATAAGACGGAAGAAATAAATTTATATTATTAAGTTTCGTTAAAAGGTTTCCAAGATACAGCACTTTAAAGAAAGGTATGTATGACGTTTTCATAAAATTTAAGTTCCGTGTAAATGGCAACCCTACGTCATATCGGCAAAATATGCTGCACGTATATTCATGTCACCTAGACCTTCACATTAAATGCCTCATAATAATATTTTTGCGTTTGTACTTTTGCTAAGGGTTTAGCCGAGCTTCTCCCCCAATTTGTGGTGTGCGTCTTGATATTGTTATACAAATGAAGGGACAGTTTCAAGCCGCCTCCGAACAGCAACGGGATTTTCTGAGGAGCTTTTTTATGGACGCAGTACACTCTGAGGTTGCCTGCCTAAAAACGAACTCCGTTAGAAACAACTCTCCAATTTAAATTTTGCCGTACCACTAACCAAGCCCAGGACCTACGGAGTGGTAGTACGCATCTCTAACAAGCCACAGCGGCCCCTGACTTATTCCCCTCGGTATCATTTAGTTTCGCTCATACAAGGTAACGAAACACAATCTAAGCAAATCACTCGGAAACATTTTGCGAGCGCTAACTTTACTCTGATAGCATTCGCGATAGCTAACGCAAACAAAATAAGTGAATGCGGAGAAATAGGGAAACAAACGAAACATGAAGTTAGTGCTCACAACACAAAACGAAACCATTCGTTTAGTGATCCTCTAGTAAACATACGTACATATATACATATAGTGCATATCATATGCAACCGAAATTTAACGGATAATAGCTTTCGTGTAGTTCTAAACGGACTGCTTTTAAGTGCTCTTTTAAAATTCCTTAAAATATTTACGTATTTTCAAATTCAGTAGCAGCGCTACACACCTTCGGTAAAAAAATTCTAAAAAGTCAAAGGTAACTTTTAGCCACTTGAAACTTGCACATTATTACACTAAAATTGAATGGGCTATAAAACTGTATACTCAAAAAACACTTCTCAGAAAAAAGTTTGAAATTATGATGATTTTTTTTAATTAATAAAATTAAAAATTAATAAATGAACATAAGTGGCAAACAATAACTTTGACTTTTTAAACAAATTAATTCTTGTAAAAATGATATACCATTGCACTAAATATTTTTTTAATAAAGTTTTTCTTTACTTGTTTATGGCTGCATTTCTTTATTCATTCTGAATAAACTTTTTTGTTTACTTATTCTTTAGAACGGTCCTGATGATATGTTAACGTATATTTCAAACGCATTCTGTTTATTCCGGCTGTGAAATGGGATTATCTGGAATGTGTAAAGAAACGCAGCCTATGTGTTTAAATAATGCTACGATTTTGGTTTTAAACTATGTGTTAAAATGTTGTTATTCAAGTATTTATGTAAGTTAACAAGAAGATGTAACTACATCAGTAATTATGTTCGCTTAAGTACCCGCATCGAGGTTCTTTTAAGTACCACTCAAAAAGCTGACATTTTGCGTGAGGTACTTAAGCGGGTTTTACTGTACTTAAGAATCGGTATGTGTAGGGCTGCCAGACGTCCCGGTTTTCCCGGACATGTCCCGGATTTAGACTATTTGTCCCGGTGTCCCGGTCCAACCTTAAAATGTCCCGGGTTCCGTTTAAGTGCCCCGGTTTTCGATTTGATTGCACAATTTTTGCATAAAAATTACTACACTGAGAGATAAAACGGTTTGTAATATTAAGAAAAATTTTATGAATTTACTGGGGGAAATAACGCATAGTAAACATGAATATTTTTTATTTGATTATCGTTTTAAAATGTTCATATTTAAAAACAATACTTTCATACCACGCACATGTGGTGTTGAATCAAACTGAACATTTGAATGCACATTTACATGTCTGGCTGTAGCTGAGTGCACGAAGATGCTTGCCACAATTTGCTAATTTCCAGAGCGTCAGGATTCAAATCCCATTACAGGCAGCATGGAATTTAAATATTTTTTTAACTTAATTATGACAAAGAATCCGTTAAGTGCAAAGCACTTCATTTTAATATTGGCGCATTTCAATTGAATAATTCTATACTAAATACTAAAATTTGTACACTTAAATTTATGGGTTGATGCTCTTTCATATGCGATGTTTTTTTTTTTTAATTTAGCACGTTTTGCACAAGCAATAGTTGATGGTTAATATAAGTATGTACGTAAATACGTTAAAATGACATGCACAGAGTTTTACAATTATATTAAGCAAAATCCAGAAGTTTTGAAACAAGTCCACAGCAACGAAACAAATGACTGATATTTTAATGTTACCTTGTATTTCATTTTTTTCTTTCGTGAAACCTAGATTACTTATAAGTACCGTGCCGTACAAAATTATTGGCTCGGAGACTCTTTCATCTCATCACAATTTCTAATCCGATCCTTTAGAAAAATATTGAAAATGTAGCTTTTGAGCCGATTAGTAAAGTGCAAGTCTGAAGTTACCAGAAAATTTCGTTGATTTTTTGCAATTATTTATTTTTTGCTGACAGTGTCTTCCACATACAAAAAAATGTCGAACATAGTTTGTATGGAAGAAACTCTCAGTAAAAGCAATACCAAAAATCAACTAAATTTTTATGGGCTGCAAAACTTCATTTTCAAAATTTTTATAAAAAAGTCTGAATAGAAAGTTGCGAATTTGTATGCAAATTTATTGCATTTTCCCGAGATTTGCACAAAGTTTAGAAATTTTATTGTTACGTTTTCTGATGTATTTAGTATAAACTGTATCTTTATAAGGAACAAAAAAGGTACATGCATTATGAAAAATTCTCTGTGCCTTAGTTGTGATAAATTGTTTTGTTTTGCTGGTGTACGTTGTAATGATCTCATGATCTCATGTTTTTATGTTTTGGTTTTTGTTTGTCAAAATAAAATTTTACTACATCCTTTCGTACGTAATTTTTGTCGAAACGAAATGGCGAGAGGCCTCTCCCCCCTTAAGTGTCCCGGTTTGGCAACAGAGATATCTGGCAGCCCTAGGTATGTGCATACATTCATTTTAGTTAAGCTTAAAATTGTACTTCCTCACTCTTGTACTTCACTTCATTAACTGAATTCAACTTTGCTGCAAATTGGACAAAGCCAAACATGATTTTTATACGAGACAAATTTCCACAGAAAGTAACGGTAGAAAAAGAATTTTTGGATATTTATTCTATTTTTCAGCTGACTACGATGCAGCATTCTACTTTGCATTCCCTGAAATTAAGCAAAGAAGCGAAACAAATAAAATATTGTAGGACATTATACTTTGTAGTCCCAACGGTTGCCAGACGCAGTGATTTTATCAGTACAGTACTGATTTTTCAACTCTTGTACTGATTTTATTAATTTCTTCAATCAGTACGCTAATGTCCTGATTTTTCAAAATTTGTACTGATTTGTACTGAATTTTCTATTCTAAAAAAAATACATACTTTAGTATTTTCTTAAGGTTTTTACATAACGTTGGAACTTCCTTAAACTGTATTGTAAAAAATAAGAAGAAAATAATTTAATTATATTCAACAATTTTATAATGAGCTCGAGGCCATTTTTTTTTTTTAATGAAAATTTATTGTGGAAAAGCAACAATAATTTGAAAAAATGGTAGAAGTGATAGCTATTTCGGAAATCACCACATTTCCTCATCAGACTTCTTTCAGTAGGATTCGAACCGACGATCCCACTGACTCAGCCAGTTGCCTATGCACCGTGCTAAGACGCCTTGTAAATTAGTAAAAAAAAAAAAAAAAAATGGCCTCGAGCTCATTATAAAATTGTTGAATGTAATTGTTAAAAGGCCAAAAAATAACAAAAAACAAATAATTTAATTATAGTTGACATGTTTTAGATAATGTTTGATATGCCCAAGAAATTAATACAACAAAAAGATCAATCGTTTTATAGGCATATCGCCGGGTCATTATGTACCAGTTGCGATAATATGATTGAGCTTAAACTATTTAAAAAGAAGGCTTAAATTTTAAAAAGCGGGAAAATGTGATTTTGTATTTCGAAACTGTATGGTGGAAAGTGTGTTCTAATATCTATTTGATACACAAAAAATGATCACGGCTGTACTTTTTGCTGATATATTACATACATATGTTCCATTTAGTTAAACAATATAAGAATATTGTAGTATGTACCACAAACACGTATATTTTCTATAAAAAATCATAACCCAGAAAAAAATCTTCGCTATTAGAGATTTGGGTTGATTGTAGTTCAAAGTGTCTCTTTCCCAGTAAAAAAGTTTGAGAGAAAAAAAATACACTTTTTGAGAAATTAAATTTAAAAAAAAATTTGCACTTTTTGTTTATTGTTAAATTAAAAATTTTAAATAATGAAAATCAATAATTATATCATTCTATCTTGAA